CGGGCCAGTAGCGCAGCGCAGCTGCTGGCACACAGCATGGTGATACGATGGTGGTGGTGGTGGCTTCATCATGGCATAGGCATGAAGGCAGCAGCAGCACCAGCGACAGCCACGGTGGTAGGGGCGGTCGGGCGTAGAGCAGACCAGCGCCCTAGCGGTGCGGTCAAGCCACGACAAGGCACGGCAGCCACGGCCAGCCGGTGCGTGGCCACGCGCACGCATGGCACAACCGTGTGGCGATGCGGTTTAGCCACGTGTGGTGACCACGTGCACGACGCCACACAACACAAAGCTATGAGTTGCATGAATTTTAAAGTGCTAATCACGACCAAACCGTTGCTCCTAAACCTAATCCGGCTTCACTACACTCAAGATGGCATATGGAACTACTAAATCGAATCATAGCACTACACCACTCCTTAACCCAATTTCTCCAAATAAATTGCTAAACATAGCAGCGTCTAGCTGCCCATAGACTTAGAAATTTTCTAAGCGTTTGAGCTAATCTTAATTTCATATTGCATTTCTAAGCTACTAAAAATATTAGTAAGCAATATTCTTTTTCAACAGCAAGTATTTCATTGTCATCTATAAAGTTTGCACTTCCAACTTTATTTAAGTATCACACACGTATTTTTGCTTAATAAAAATTGGTTTTAAACCCTACTTGATATGCATGAACCATCGAACCAACTTTCGTTTAGCATTTTTATTGATCATTTTGAGTTACATAAATTGATATACACACTTCACCACAAGCATTAACATACAAGTATGATGCTCATGACATGTTTTAGTAGATGATTAACGGGGTAACACCGAGGGTGTTACAAGAAGCCTATAAGAAGCTTGGCAAGGCTCATTCCTCTCTACTTAATGAGTAAAATGAGAAGAAGCATGTTGTAACATGTGACAAAGGCTTAACTTATGATATAATTGATGAATCATTCTATAAGCCTATCATTGTTGCTTCCACTAACCCTTCTTGTTGGTGAACAGATCCAGAATATGGGAGGACCCCGGGAATACATGTCAGGCAAGAGATGCTCGCCAAGCGAATATCATCTAACAAACACTGATCTAGTGTTGAACCCTTGGTAAGCCCTAGAGCATTCTAAGCCTCCTACCTCTCATTTTAAAATACACTTGAGTTTAGATTTGTATTGTGCATTAAGTATAGGAGTTGAATTAAAACCCGTTGCTGCATGTCTTACCTTGTCTACAATATATATACTTGTATCCTTACTAGTATGTATAGGTCGTCTATGCTTAGATCGGTAAAAGTCAGGTGATTCCTGTCGCCTACGAGACATAGGTGGCTACTCTAACACAATTGGCTATATTTGCTATCGTGGAAAAGACCAGGTGATAATGGATAACTGGAGACCGGACGGGATCCAGTGCTATTATGGTTGTTGTTGATGTCGGCTAGGCATGCATTCTTTGATCTTATCTGTGTCATTTAAGGACCACTTCATTATCGGATCTTGGTTGAGAATGAAGGTACCAAACACATAACAGGGGCCTGAGTTATAGTTGACCGTGAAGCCGATTAGCTCATTTGGGCTAAGTATATTGGACTATTAGCATTGCTGGGAGGAGAGCCTGAAGGAAGGGGACTGGTCCAAGACCATGTTCGCTACGGGCTTCGGGCAATTCATGTGAAGATGCAGGATCATGAGTTTTGTGAGACGGTCCAAACTCACCGCCAAATAGAGTGAACGGTGACCCACACGGGCTAATGTGGGCTCGTACGGGTGTGTGTTTGGGATTGCCTAGCTAGATGCAATTGATTCGAATCATCGTCTCTCCCGGTTAGTGAGAAACTTGGTCATTGTCCGGCAGTCGTAGTAACTGATGAAACATGATGGTTCTGTTGATCATGATAATTGAATATGGTTACTACTATGATACTTATTAATCAAATGATTGTTACAGGATAGATGCAAACTTAGCTATAATTGGCTTCACTGAACTTGATGCTAAAATATTGAAAGTAAGAACTTACATAGTAAGCTCTTTTGCAAAAGATTATGCTATCCAACTAGCTCCACCAAATAAACCATGCATATCCCTGGATCTTCTTGAGGCGGAAGAACTCCTCACGCTCGTGCTCATCTCGCTCGCCCCTGATGTAGGCCGTATGCGATGGTGTTCTCTAGGCGTCGATTGGTGGTCTTGATGGCCGCGTCCAGCGACGTTAGCTCCACCAGCATCTTGAGGACGCGCGCGGTAGGCCACCAGTTGCTGCCCGCCGTAGGTGAGCCTCGTGAGCGACGTCGGCGATGAGCCACCGGTGGCGGCGCCGTTGGCCAGGTATAGTAGCTCTTGAAGCGCGGGAGATGGACACAAACGATGTTATCCTAGTGCATGCACACACGGAGCCTGGCAGGGCCCGAGACGGACTGCTGCACGACGTGGTAGAGCGGCGCGCTGACAACGTAGAGTGCCTCAGCGAGGGTGAGCGAGGCGGCGCGCATGGCGTCCTTGGCGAACATGATGCGCTTGATGATGTGGAACTACATCATGAGCGCGTCCGATTGACTTCTTCTTGAGCAGCACGTGGTCGGGGGTGAGGCTGGCCAGTCGCGCCTTCACCATGCCCAACATCGTCATCGTCGGTCAAACGCTTTTCTTGGACCTCATATTTGTCGTGTCTGCATGAGCACCATTGCATGATTAGGTTGGGTCGGGCTTGGACGCGTGGTGTAGCGATGGTTATGGAGAGACGGAAAGCTATGGCAATATCTGTGCATGCACTGCCACGCGCTTGCAGTTTCACCTTTTATTTTTGTGCACCCCTTTTAAATAATAATTTCATGCTTCAAAAAGTATTTTACTTATTTTGGAAGATTAATGATAATATATAGCCTGAGATGCATGTACTACTGTACTGTACATCGCAGAAGTGTTTCATTTGGCTTCAGGGGTAAAAAGGTCATTTCATCTTGCTTTTAACACCGTCAACCAGTGAAACTAACGGAAGGGCCAAATTCCTAAACGAAATTCGATTCAGGGCCAAATAACAAAGTTCAACGAAAATAGGGCTAAGAAACTAAGCTCGACTTTTTTTAAGGGCCAAGGAGCCAATTTGCTCTAAATTTAATTACATTTATAAAAAATACAATATTTGTATTTCTAAATAAATTTATTATAAAAATAGATTTAATAATCTATCTATGTAATAATATTAATTATATACTCAAAATATTAAAAAAATTTATATAAATTTAGTCAATTTTTTTTTGAAAAACAAAAACAATAATTAATATGAGACGGAGGCAGTAATTCTTGCATAGGCGGCTTGTCGCCACCGCCACGACTGAATAAGTGGAAACCAACAGCACCTACTAGTAATCTAGTACTCCCTGCTATTAATATTTCAGGGACACAAATCAGATTGTTCGGAGAGAGAGAGAAAAAAAGCGTTGTTGCTCGCCGACAGACCGTATAGTTTTTCGTGTAGTGTTGTTGTTGTGTTTCTTTTTTCTTTTCCTTCCTATTGTAGATAGTATATGCTAGGACTTTATGCTTTTATTTTCTATTTTATACCAATAAAATTGACATTATCATTGTTCAAAAATAAAATTGACATTATAAATGTTGGTTCATTTTTTAAAATACTCATTTTTAGCAACATTTTTTTAAATACTCTTTTTTTGAGAGAATTTTAAAATACTCATGAGAGGCTGGGAAAATACAACGCTACAAATGGGCCTGTGAAAGAACAGAGCGAGGCCCATTACAAGAATCACGAGCGCAGCGACACGCCACCGGGCGTTGCGCTTCCGCCAACCCGTCCTCGTCCTGCACACTCCTCACACCGACGCAGATCCCCACCAATTAATCGCTTCCCCCCCGAAATCAACTCTCCCAGTTAATTTTAATGAGGCTTTTATTATAAAAATGCTCTATTTCTATTTATTATTAAAAAATTCACACGGTGTCACGACGTAAAACTTTTTTTTTCCTCCACGCTATTTGGTTTGCCTTTGGTTAGATTTTCAGCGTTTAGTAGTCCTGACATGTGGGCCCGATCCATGAAAATATACAAAATGTCCCCCCCCCCTGCACGTCGCGCTCCTGCGGTCCTGCCCCTCGGCCACGTCATCCTCGTCGGCTCGCTCGCGGTGTCCGGCCAGCTCGCGCCGAGCACCTCGCGGACGACTGCTGCGGCCGTGGGGCTCCAGCCCTGCTCTTCTCGCAGGACGCCCCGCGCAGCCACCGGGGTGGGGCGGGGTTGCCGTCGCGCGAGTCGCCGCTGTCGTCCCCCCGCTACTCCACTCTCCACTCTCCACTCTCCACTCTCCAGCCCCAGATCCCCACCCTCCGCCGATTGGAGCCAGGCAGAAGCGGCGGCGACTGCGGCGGCCATTTCTAGGGTTAGTTCTCTTGCTCCACAGGCATTTCCCAATACTTGGCAGCGAATCTTGTATAGCAATTATCGCGATTCTGGCTTCGATTAGTTGTTAACTGTGTGGTCTGCTAAATTTTAGTTTTTTCTGTGTGCGCAAATTCGTCGAGTTAGATCCTTAAACGTGGAACGCCGCCGTGTGTCTACGAAATCGCGTTGCTTACGCATGTTCACGAGCACGGGTGATGGGGAAAGGAGAATCTTCTTTGAAATTGTAATTTAAAGGTGCTTGGTGGTGTGTTAGGATTCTTGGTTGCGTTTGCAGGGTTTTTCTGGGATAGTTGAATAAGAGAGTTTGCTGTTGCTTTTATTTCCCCTTCCGGCATTCATTATAGAGAGGTGTTGTAGTTTACTGCAAGTGGGAAATTTGTATGTTTATGATCTCATGAAAGTTTGAAGATGTTTGAATAAGCTAGCTGTTTTTTTTTTCAATCACCACGTGCACTCAAAACATTGGACCTGCATTTGACATATTTAATTTTGCTGATCAAACACTCCGTTCATCAAAATGTAGCTGGAAATATATTCTTTTATCTGTATTCATCAATACATGGATTTGTTGAAGGGCTGAGCTGTGCAAAGAGAGATGGATTCCAAAAAGAAGAGGAACAAGAAGAAGAAGGGAAACCAAGGGAAGAATGCCGCTGATGTCACATCCAATGCTGGGGAAGCTGCTCCCCAGCACCACAAGCACGAGTCAGCCCCAACAGATCATCATAAAGGTTATGATGCAGATGATGCCATGTCCAGTGTTGGAGAGGGAGTTCCTCAGTACAAGAATCACCAGCCAAATCTACAGGCAGATCATAATGGCACAAATGCTTATGATACTACATCCTCCATTGGAGAGGGTATTGCTTGCTATCAGAACAATGAACCTATGATGACACAGGAGAATCACAAGGCCAGCAATGCTGTCCCTGCAGATCAGAGGAGTGTTGGACTGTCAGAGTCTAGTGTGGAGCTTGACATGCACAGACTTTATGAAGCAAAACTAGTGAGTGGTTTGTTGGTTTGTGAAATTGCAAATGCGCCATCTCTTTTCATTTTCTTAGAATGCTTGTGAATTTTATCAGCACTTGAATTGATAATATATAGTACCTATTAGGCAAGTCTACATGGTATCAGCCTATTAGATCCTGTTTTTCCTGCCCCTTCCTCCCGTGCTCTCTCCCTGCTCGCGCGTTCTTCCTGCTCGCGCAGCAGCAGCCCACCGCGCGCGTCTTCCTCGTGCCCGTCCACCCTCACCGTCTGTTCTCCTCTCACCCTCATCTCCAATGGCCTCTTCATCCTCCTCGGCAACCAGTGCTGGCACCCTGCCCGCGACAGGCACTCCAACCATGCCTGCCATGACCACCGGCGCTGCTGCCCCGATTGTGGCTCACAACTACGCCACCGTCAATGTCAAGTCCCACATCCCATTCACGCTGGACCTGCAATCCAACTATTCCAAGTGGGCGTTCTTCTTCAAGTCGCTGTGCGGCAAGTTCGGCCTTCGCTCGCACATCGACGGCTCTGCTCCTCCTCGTCCTGATGATCCTCAGTGGGATGCCGCGGAGTGCTGCGTCCGCGGCTGGATCTCCGGCTCCGTCGACGACTCCGTCCTCGACCTCGCCATGGACGGTGCCGATCCCACCACCCGTGATCTGTGGGTGGCCATTGAAGGGATCTTCCGCGCCAACCGGGAGCCCCGCGCCATCTTCCTCAACGAATTCCACTCCATGGTGCAAGGTGACAGCACCATCTCGGCGTACTGCCAGCGGCTGAAGATCAAGGCCGCCGCTCTTCGCGACGTCGGGCACCCTGTCCAGGACTCACAGCTCGTCCTCGCCCTCCTTCGCGGCCTCAATCCTCGCTTCTCCAACACCGCTGACGACATCGCTAACTCCGCTGTTCTTCCCACATTCGCGAGGGCTCATGACATGCTGGCCCTCAAGGAGCTCCGTCTCGCCAATGACGAAAAGACGGTCGCCAACACCGGCTCTGGCTGCACCAGCTCGGGCGGGTGTCGTGCTCTCGCTGCCACAGCCACCTCTGGAGGTCCACACAACCCACATGTGACCAGCTACGGCAGCACCAAGGGCGGCGGCGGCGGCAACAGCAGCGGCAGCAAGAGCAAGGGCAAGGGCCGGCGCTGGAACAGCGGCTCTGCGCAGCAGCGCGGCGGCGTTGGCCAAACTGGTCAATACCGCCCCATGGGCCCCTGGTTTTGCTAGAATCCATGGGCGCCCCAGGGACCTCCTTCGGCACAGCAACAGGCCGGCTGGCGTCCAGGCGTGCTTGGCGCCCCTCCTCCTCAGGCTCATACGGCCTTGGCGCATCCACAGCCTCCCACAACATTTGCGCCGCTCCACGTCTCTCCACCAGCTCCCATGTGGAACCAGGACGGTCTCGTCGCTGCCCTCAATCAGATGCATCTCCAGGGACAGCATCCCTGGGTCCTGGATTCCGGCGCCTCCTCCCACATGAGCTCCTCGGATGGTATACTCCTCTCTCGTCACCCTCCTCCTCATTCTTCCATTACAGTCGGCAATGGTGCACATCTTCCTGTTTCCTGTCGTGGCCAGTCTGTTCTTCATACACCATCATCCAATTTTCATCTTAATAATGTCTTAGTTGTCCCATCTCTAGTTTGCAATCTCCTATCTGTCCGTCAATTTACTAGGGACAACAACTGCTCTATAGAATTTGACGCTCTTGTTTTTTCTGTCAAGGATATCCCGACCCGACGCGTGATGCTTCGCTGCAATAGTGCTGGTGATCTTTACACCTTCCCTGCTGCATCTTCCGCTCCACACGCCAACATTGCCGCCTCCACCGACCTCTGGCATCACCGTCTTGGTCATCCCAGCTCCGCCACCATTGACATTCTTCGTCGTAATGCGTCCATCAGCTGTAATAAATTAGAGCAGTTGCTATGTCATTCCTGTCAGCTTGGCAAACATGTGCGCCTCCCTTTTTCAGATTCTAGTTCACATACTTCTATGCCATTTGAACTTGTTCACTGTGATGTATGGACATCCCCGGTTGCAAGCGTCTCCGGGTACCAATATTATCTAGTTTTACTTGATGATTATACTCATTTTTGTTGGACTTTTCCACTCATTCGCAAATCTGAAGTCTCCACACATATTGCAAATTTTTGCAATTATGTCCACACTCAATTCAGCCTTGCCATCAAGGCTGTCCAAACCGACAATGGCACTGAGTTCGTCAACCACACCCTCCATACTCTCTTTGCTTCTCGTGGTATTCATTTACGCCTCTCGTGTCCATATACCTCCCCACAAAATGACAAAGCTGAACGTCTTCTTCGCACATTAAACAACATCAGTCGCACAGTATTATTAGTTCAATAGTTGTATATTTATGTTGATCATGTGACTTTATTTTTGTTCCACACTTCTCCAAATGAGTCAATCAGACAATAAAGTATTGCAATGCAGGATAAATTACATGAGACAATAAAGCAGTTGGAGAATGAAAAGAGTTTATGGCTTCAAAAAGTGGTATGCATATATGGGCAGGATTAAAAAACTGTTTTTGCTTATCTTTTCTTTTTCTGAAGCTTTTATTTTTTATTACAAATGTATTCACCATTCTACGTTTGCATCAACTTTCTCAATTACAACTGCCAATAATCAGTCTACCTGCTCTCATAGCAGCAATGGAAAAGATCTATCTTAAGCATATTTGAATCTACCATTTTCCAATTTACAAAATTCTACTGTGATGTAGTCCCTATAAATCCAGATATATAAAACATTTTTAGACTTACTCATGAACTTTTCCCTAAGTATAAATCATTCTACAGCTTTGAGGTATATGGGTCTAGTTTCTTCAATTTTAGGGAGGACCATGTAGCAAAAAAAAAGGGAGGGCACCAATGTCATTTTCTCTTGCTCTTTAGGCCCTGTTTGGAACATGGGGAAAATTTTCCTGTTCCTCCCTGTTTGCTGTAAAATTGAACTGGCTCTTAATTTGTGTTTCCATTGCTCGAGTAACTTATATCTAGTATTGAATTGAAGGGAGGTGCTATGTCAATAAAACTATGTAATGTATTCAACTACCCCCTCCCCCCCCTCAGTCATGCACCGTGTTTTGTATACAGGATATGACACATCACACATGCATATCAAAGTAGTTTCTAACATGCCTTTACCATATTTTATTTATGTTTTTATGCCATATGTCTATGTGCTTACTACTTTGGTTTGATGAGTTCCGAGCACATGCACATTCGTGTGCTAGAACCATCACATAAGAAATATTGTTTCATTCCCTCATTATCCTTCTCCTGCAGAGCACCATGGAGGGTGAACTTGAAAAGTTGCATAGCAAAGTGGGTTGTCATGCTCAAAATGAGGTATACTTTATGTGCTGGACGCGAACTATCCTGTGATTTTATCAATTGCAGTTGTCTTCCTTTTGGCAAGGTTGCTGGCAAGATGAATGACTCGAAATTTGTCCGTCTAAAATTTTCGTCATTCTGGTCTGCAGGTCCTTTTGGAGGGAAAAGTGAATAGTCTACAGAGTGGTTATGATGTACTGATTAAGAAGGAGGTATTTAGTGTTTCTTCAGCTGATTTCAATACTTGAGTGGACATATTTGTCAGCGTGTCAATCTTGCCTGATTCCAGTGACTGGGATTCTGGGGTAGAGTTGTACATAGGGCATCTAGGGCCATGGCCCTTGGTGCAAGTATAAAATTCCTACAAAGACCTCAGTTATAGGTAGATCGATAATTGTACTCACTACATATTATGCACTAAAAAGGAGTTAAAGACAATGTAGAACCTTTTGTTCTCCTGATGATATTACAACAACAACAACAACAACAACAAAGCCTTTTAACCCCAAGCCAGTTGGGGTAGGCTATTCTCCTGATGATATTGGAACCCCAAATTGACGAGATAACCTTTTAAGCTGGCGCCATCAACTATTCAACTCAGATACCATATTAAAGGCTAGTGTACTAGCTCTTGTTGGGAGTTTTTTTTTTCCTTTTTTTCTCAAACACAAACACAGCTCTTGTAGGGAGTTACATGCTCTTGTTATAAGTCTGTATTCCCTGATTCCATGTAGGAAGTTTTGGATAACAAAGTCAGGCACATAGACAACATCAATGACACCTTAACTCATCAAGAGGTAACATATGGATTACTAGCTTTTTGCTTGAGATTCTGCACTTGTTTGAAGGCTAATGTTTCTTTCTTTCTTTCTTTGGCTGATGTATAACTGATCTTTTTTAGGCTTTGCTTAAAGAAAGATTAAGTGGGCTGGAGGAAACAAATAAAGCCCTGCTGGTACAGGTACAAGTTTTTTTAAAAACTTTTTCATTTTGTATTTGTATAGAGTTGGTTGTGCACTTCTGGCCAGTGGCTACCTAGTTGAGGGAAAAAAAAACCCCTGAACTACTGAATATGGGTACCAGTAGCTTTGGTGTATCAAGTAATCTGAATTTCTGTTTAAATTTAAATATTTCAACATGCTGCGTCATGTACACTTAAAGTTCTCTTGTTCTCATGGTTTATTTGCCAGAATGTGAACATGTCAAATTTGGCACTTTGGCCATTTTAATGTCATTTGTAGTAGACATAATGTTAGTTCTGTCCTCTGATATTACCATTTAATAACAAAGCCTGGCAGGTGAAGGTGTTGGAGGAAGCTTCAAACAATACTTTTGAGGAAAATCAGATGTTGGTAAAAAAAATAGATGAACTTGATTCAAGACTACAAGCACTTGAAGCAAAGTGTGCTCCTAGTGAAGCCTCAATGGTTGAAAAGGTAAAAGGTTATGCACTGTATTTTAGTGGCAATTCTGAATTGTTCCATTATGGCTGCATGTTTGACTTTTTTATTCTTGCTATCTGCTACCTAATATATCTATTCGTACACAAGTGATCTTAGTGTTTATATTCTAGAATGTAACAAAAATTGTAATGCAGTTCCCTGATGATAAGGTGATGGATCAGGTGGATTTTGCCAATTCACCACTTCAGGAACAGACAATTGGTTTTTCCGAGGTGATAAGCAAAGTAAATGATTTTTTAGGTTAAATTATTTTAGTGTTTCTTTCCTTTCACAGTTTTACTATACATATATCGCCCTGTCATCAAGTGTTTATTGTACCAAATTACTTCTTACTCCCATGGGCATGGGAGGAGAGTCATTCCTAGCAAAATGTGGGTTAGCATATATAAAGAAGAAACACAAGGGTTGGGCACAAAGGAAGTAATCTTATGATAGCATGGATTAAGGGAGTATGATTTATTTATAATAGATTATATTTACTCTTGTTCGATCAGAAGTAAAATGTTCATCTCATGTTTGTATGCCAACTTGACATAATATCAAGCATGGATATTGTAGTTAGTTCTTAAGCATATGTTTTCTTTACGATGGATTAGGATCTAATCATTCGCATCTCTGTTCAGAACTTATTTACTCGTATATTATGCAAGTAATAACCGTTTGCACAAAACAATTGTTTCTTCCTGCAGGGTAACAAACTGATTGCTGAGAGAGGTTTGAGCAGTTCAGTAAAAATTAATCCTGATAACAGCTATGGTCAAATCTACGATATTCCTAGCAAGGCCTATGCTAGTAATTATCCAGAGGAAACGTCAATACAGCTTCCAGAAATAGGCACCAGCAATAGCATTGTTCAAGGTCATGTTGATGTCAATGAGCATCGATTTGATGGACCAAGAACAAGTGAAGAAATCGTTCCACTTCCATTGGATGATATACAGATTCATGAGGATTACCCACAGCAACCGGGAACAGCCGATGAGACAGATGAGGTTCCATTTTCCGACGCCCCAATCATTGGTGCTCCATTCAGATTGATCTCATTTGTTGCTAGGTATGTCAGTGGTGCTGATTTGGTTAACCAAAAATAACTGTCTGCATATCAAGAATTCAGGATCTGTATGTCAGGAGTTTCTTTTTGATTCTGCTGATAATTCCGTCAGTATATTAAGATAAGATGGGTGGATTGGATTCAGCATAGATGTGGAGGCTCTATTCGTTCGTGGTAGTGCTCACGTCACTGCCAATTCTTCTCCTTCCCCTATACTTTTTTCAGGCGCAGGAGAAATTCTTGTTCCTTGGCTTATACAAGAGGCTATGTACCATGTGCCTCTTATACGGGTCAAACTATGCGAAAGTTGTTCTGGTCAGAAATTCCATTAGCGACTGAATTTTGGTGTGTGACATGACTTGGTAAATGCATTGGCAATATAAACCTGTGACAGATAGCTACTTGCTTGATTTATTGCATCTTCTTGTTAATCTTAATCTTATTTTCTGTGTGGCGCAATGATACTCCTTTTTAGGTTGCTTCTTTATTTTTGGCGACATAAAACAATGTGGTCTTTTAGACTAAATTTTGTCTCTGGACTATCGAAGGGGTTTTCATGGCAAAACGAAAGTGGTCGATTCAGACCTTAGAATTTTCTTTTGGGCTCAATTTTTCATACATCTTCTTATAGGAATCCTGCACCCAAACCGCGGGCACCCGCTACGGCCACGTCACCCGCTAACCCGCTAGCCGTTGGATCGAGCGTTCATGCGATATCCGCCGTCCGATCGGAGTCAGCACGGGTCTGTCGCCCGGTAAGCTGGAAACCTGAACTTTCGCGAATCGTCGCCACCCGCTCGGCTCGCGAATTGTTCTGCCTCGCCCACGCGGGGCTGGGACCGTGCGAGGCCACCTGGATGTGCGGCGGGCCGGCGGCGTGGGGTCGGCCCCTCCCGCCGTCGCGCTCGGCGCGGCGCGGGCCACCAGCGAGGCGGCGAGGGCGAGTCGAGCGCCGCGCGGCACGGGCACGGGCCCTAGGGCCTAGGCCAGCCGTACATGACTGCCACCACGGACTGCAAGTGCTGGCGTGGCGCAGCGAGCCGAGCACGCCGCCACACAGATGTAGCTCCCAGCGAACGCCGCCACGAGTGCGTGCCACCGGCACAGGCGCAGTCCGCCGGCGAGCCCAGCGCGACGCGGCACGGGTGTGTAGCAACGAGGCGAGCGTGGCCGATGCCTCACTGGACCACTGGCGTTGGCACAGGGCCCACCGGCAACAATACCAGGCGACGCCGCCAGAGACGAGGCGCTATGCGCGTCAGCTTTCTCTAGCCCCATCTCCATTACGGCATTGCCTCCACCTCCCTTCCCTACATGCTCAGTACGCCCGTACAATACATTTGAGAAGATGGCACATCTCGGTGCTTGGGCTGTTGGCTGGGATGAAGAGCAGATTGGCGTCGATCTCCTCCCACTCGAACAGGTGAAGCAAGCATCATAGAAAGTGGTTCCATATTGGCTTTTGTTCTCCCTATGAATTTGCATGTCATGTGTTTGACGAAATGGCCATATCATCACCCTGTTATATGAGTATTCATTTTTCTTTTTATTTCATATACAACTTTAGAGTTCCCTCAGCAGATCATCCTATTTCACAATTTTGCTCTGTCCTCGGGATAGGAGGCACAAGCTTTGATAGCCTCTTGCTTAATTTGATCAGCTGCTATGCTATCGGTTCATTCCAACGAGTACACACTTCTGTCTTTTATGCTTTGAGCCAAATCACATTCTTATACATGAATCTGACACTTCTTATTCTCCTTGGTTATTACCTGAATATATTATCATAATCGACTCCCTTAATTCTTAGTACTAATTAAGCTGCAAAACCTGACATATTTAGATATGGTGTCATTTATTCACTAGAGCTGAGAAGAAATTGCTTATATGCAAAGGTATCCTTATTACAAACAGAATTAGATCAACTTATAACTTGCCCTTGTATTGTCATTGTAAAATAAGCAACAATGCTATATTATTTTTAGAGCCCTAAATTTACCTAGGTGTTGTGAATATTATGTGTACAAGGCGCACCATATGTTCACTTCAGATGAAGGCTAAGTCAAAGGTTCGGATAATTAAAGAAACGACACAATAACATCAACTACCCTAACTTGAAATGAATATGATTTTGTATCATGTCTTGTTGGTCCTCTTCTATCATTGTTTAATCCATTTCTTCCAAGTTATGAACAAAAGTGTTTGATGGATATTTTTACCAGGTTATAAGCGTATCGTGGCGTGGTTGAGCCACCTCTGCTCTCCCCATAGAAAAATATAAGAGTATCTTACGGTTCTCACTGGGTACTAATGAGAAACTTAGAGAGTGTACGAAAATCAATATTGACTTAAACTCCTTTACACTTCTGGCCTCCTCTGACTTTAAAATCACTCAAGTTACATACTTTGATACTTATTATTTTCTACAAATGCTTCACTTCCCATTACTTAATTGCATTATTTTGCTACGAACAATTAATTTGCTATGGGGTCTAGAAAAGTTTCAGCCGCTCCATACCTATTACTACACCAACCAACCATAAGTTGGTATGACCTATGAGTGAGATCGCACAGTCCACATGATAAACTCCATTTATAGGTCTACTTCCTTCGCTCATAATTTTAGTTGATAGGCTATATTTTTATGTGTTTGTAGCATTACTTCTACATATTTGGGTTTAGTTCGATGGGTTGAGCGCATCCCCCCGTGGGCAGCTTGATGTCGATGGCTACCACATGACGGAACCAAGGCTCTCAAATCATTACGAGCCGCACTGTTACTGTTTCTGCCACCACCATTTGATAGTAATTGAAACTCTAGATTCTCTCCGACAAAGACAACATTTCTCCTTGCTACAATGTTCATGTTAAAATAAATTCATGCGCTCTAAAAAAACCTGTTTAATTTTACATCACTTCTAATGTACGAAAATCACTCATATGACAAACAAATACTATACAAACAAAAGAAACTTACCTAAACACCACGGATCTTAACATGGCCTAAAGCCCTAAACTATCACCACGTGTTATAAGATGAGGCGTTCATTGCCCATATTTAACAATGTATTAACAATCGTGACAAACCGGCTGAGGTCTATTACTCACGCATCACGGGCTGGCCAAAACAAGCTGTCGCGCGGCAACGCCGTGCGTAGTTTCTAGTAAACTATGAAAGTGGTCGATTCAGACCTTAGAATTTTCTTTTGGGCTCAACCTTATCCTTCGTCCTACATGGCTTGCCACAATATATTGTGTTTCATCAGCTCTAGTACCACTCGCGACCGGAGATAAACGGTTTTCTTTCGGGCTCAACCTTATCCCTGGTCCTACATGGCGCTACAGTATCGTGTTTCATCAACTCTAGTACCACTCCCAACTGGAGATAGTCATCGTTAGGTTTTGTAGTCAGGAGGATATAACACCAATGGCTATGATGGCCGTCAGTAGTGGTGTTGTAATCCCCCAAAGTTGGCTCATGGGCTTCGATGCGCTGCTGCACGTCTAGGCAATGGGAGAGTCTAGGCAAAGTCTATCTCATCCCAGACATTGTTGCAGCCACCGTAGTGATCAACGCTCTATAGTGAGATCGACCGGAACCAGCGTGGGATCTGAAACGCTAAAGCAAATCTTGGACGTGCGGCACCTCAAAGGCCTCTTCAACCACAACACTCCATTGACTGCACTCGTTCGCCACCCACCGTCGTCATACATCTGTCCCATCGTGTGCAACCGTAGGTCACTGCTGCTTTTAGTGTAGTTGACATCTGTGGGTGGACATCAACCTTGTGCACCACATACGGTCACCGGACCAAGCTTATCCACCTGCGCATATCCTCGCCTCCCAGTTCGACAGTTCGACACGGCCCGTCCTCTCAACGGCGACTGGTCACCTCTACTCATGGTAGTGCTGGAGCTGACAAGGCATAACAAAGTGATGTGCCAAGTGCCATATAGGATGAGGAGCAAGGGTGAATAAAAAAAAAAGGGGACTGAAACAGCCACTTTGGTAGTTCAGGGGTGGAAATTAAGCCCACAAGAAAAATTGAACCCAAAAGTAAACTGTAAGAACTGAAACGTCCATTTTTTGTAATTAAGGACAAAATCAATAGTTGAGAGACGAAAATGGCCGTTGTTTCTTGAAGCATTCCATTGAACCAAAGTTACGGTAGCATGGCAGGATGAGTAGGCAGACAATGTGTGCACCCGGAATAACGCTACAGCTGTATATATATAACGATACACGCTGTATGGTCCCAGTGCAAAAGCCTCGGCACCACATACAGGACATCATGGATACACGAATTCCGAATCAGAATCACAGATTAGACTGAAAAATGTAACAATTCAGGCTGACAGAGGACTGGATTCCGTGGGATTGCCAATGGAGGGAGTGCGGCTCTCGGAAGCAGGCTGCCGGAGCTCATCCATCATCCTGATCACCTCCACCATTGTCGGACGTCGGTCTGGAGACCACGCTGTGCATGCCATGGCAATATGGAGCATCTGGACCAGCTCATCTTCTATGTTAGGATACTTCATCAGCTGGACATCAAACACTTCAGCGGTCCACTCCTCGCGGACCACTGAATGCACCCATCTTGGTAGATCGATGGCGGCGTCATCCTGACCCTGTGACTGAAGGGGGGCTTTGCCTGTCAGCATCTCCATGAGGAGAACACCGAAACTGTACACGTCAGACTTGTGAGTGAACTTCCTTGATTCAAAGGTCTCTTGAGCCCGGTAACCAGTGCCAACTCGGGAAGTGTTGATTGGAAGGCTCATCAAAGAGCTCAGCCCAAAGTCTGAGACATAAGGGTTGTGGTCTTGATCGAGCAGGACATTGGTTGACTTGATATTGCCATGTGCGAACTTGGAGCCACCTTCTGAATGAATGTGCTCTATACCGTGTGCTGTTCCAAGTATGATCTTCATCCTGGTGTTCCAATTTAATGGGGTCTTCTCACACACGCCCTTAATACCTGTTTATGATCACTTTGTGAGAAAAACTATTAATGATGGACTACATAAATATTGCCGTGCGATATATTGGTGAAGCAGAAGTGGATGATGCAACAATACAAGGAGTCCTATTACTCAATAGAAGGAACCTCTGAGAATAAATCCAACAGAAAAGAAAAACATGTATACATAGGCAAAAGGCAATTGTGTAACTCTGCAGGTAAATTAACAGTCACCCAAATCGTGTTTATACACTTGCCACTTGACAAGTATGCCATTCTTTTGACATGTAACTTTGGCCTTGCTTGGAACTTGTTTGGTAAAAATAGATTGTTTGGCTCACACTCCCTCTCAGGGATGAATTATTGACAAGCCAAATTTACCACTACTGTGTAACATTATCAAAGCATACTTTTATGAAAAATATACTTGTATCATTACTGTATATCCAAACTATATATCTAGACACAATGTTAATAAGCAAAATATTCACCAGGTACATTTTGCACAGTAAAATAGACTTGTAAATAAGTAATGAATATGCAACGGTGAAGATCATTAGCATACCATGCAACAGAGCTGAGAAGCTGCCAGTAGCAATATACTCATAAACAACAAGCTTCTCATCCTTCGAGTAGTAGTAGGCCCGAATAGGTGCGATGTTTGCATGTTTACCTACCCTCCCTATGAGCTCCATCTGCTGCTCAAATTCTTTCTTCCCTGCCACAACATCCTTTAGCCTCTTGACTACCACACTAGTGCTATCCTCAAGTATAGCCTTGTAGGCAGTTCCATAGCTCCCTTTTCCAAGAACTTCGGCAGATGCTCTCAATAAATCCTCCAAGTCAAAGTTGTAACTACATCCCTCCAAGAAAACTAACTTGTTCTTATGAGCCATTTGGACACCGCTACTGACATCCTCTTTGTGCTTCTCAATCCTTAAACCATCAGTGACCTTACCGTTGTAACCCACTTCATCTTTCTTCTCCTTCCTCTTTGAAATGCACATAGTGAACATCACAGCAGCTAGCAGAAATATGACAAAGCTCCCAGCGACAGCCGCAATTACCAAGCCATTGCCAGCCTTCTTCTCATGATGTGGCAATTTTGGTGGTGAAGGCGCTTGCGATGGTGTTGGTGAAGATAGAAAGGAACATTCAGTTAGAGGCGGCCCACACAATCCAGAGTTCCCTAAGAAGGAGCTATTTGAGAAGATTTGGAGAAAGGGAGGAATTGAACCATTCAGTTCGTTGTTGCTCAGATTTAGCTGTCTTAGGCTAGGAAGTTTGAGATCAGGAATTGGCCCGGACAGGGAATTTCCTGCTAAATTCAGGACAGATAATTTGGTAAGATTCTGCAAACCTGATGGGATTTGTCCTGTAAAGGAGTTGTAAGAGAGATCAAGGGTATTAAGGTTTGGGGAAAGAAATGGAGGCAAGTCTCCTGACAGTTCGTTGTGCTGAAGAAATATGGCTTGTAAAGAAGGAAGTGAGGCAACATCGTATGGAAGGCTTCCACTCAAACGGTTAGACCTCAGGCTTAAAACTTGGAGGAACACAAGCCTGCCAAGAGTATTAGCAGGAATAATACCAATCAAACCAGCACCTGGCACCCTAAGGGCCGATATACGCGATCGATCCGGTGAGCATGTCACACCATGCCAAGAGCACAGTGAGATATTTTGACTCCAATTCAGCTTGTTGCCACGGTAGACTGCAGAGGCAAAAGCAAGGAGTGCTTGCTTCTCGGAGGCTATCTCTGCCGTAGCAAACGGAAGTAGTGGCAACAAAAGATGTACACAGAGAAGTAGAGGGAGAGACGTTCCATGATTCAGATAACCCATAGTTGATATATCTTTTAATCAAGTTGATTAAACGAGCACCAGTATCAGTTTAAGACTGAGAAATAATCAAGCTGTCTGCAATGAAAACGAAAAGGTTAGTGCTAAATTTCGAAACTGAAAGTACAACTTAGTATCAGTATTTAACTCATCATGATTCTGAAGAAAATATGTGTGTGCTGAGCCCAGCAGAAAGCACAGTGCGATTTGCGTATGCACAAGCAGTGAAGCATGTGCCTGTGACTGAGCTATGGAAGCCACAGCGAGGAAGCACTTACCCCACAAGAGGCTCAGACCATCAAAATACCAAGGTGCTTTCTAAAGGACAATGTCATCTAAGAATTATAAGAAGCTATCTTTTCCAAACTAGATCAAAATGCTTTTCAATAAAGGAATAAAATAATGGTGGGAAAGTGGTGATAGCACGAAATTACTCAGTGTGAACTATAAACTGTGAAGTCTGCTCGATCATGCTTTTAGAGGGCCCTGACAGTCTAGAAGAGAATCACTTTACCGACACTTCCCATTCACTAAACTACTAAAGATTCTTCTTTCTTACCTCGAAGCAATGTTAAATCATGGGAATAAAAAAACCATAGCTAGTCAACACAAGGGACAAGGCTTCTACATCCAAAGAATGGCTAGAAGTTGCGGTAAGAAAGCAATGAAATTTGAAGGCCCAAAATAGTTGAAATGGTAGGGCCAGCATCTAAAGTCGAAAGGCATCCATGAAAGCATAAAAAGAGGAGACAATGCGAGACAGGGGCTAAAGCACAACCCTTCTTGCCTCAAAGAGAGCATCTCACATCATGAATAGCTTTCTTGAATGAAACACCAAATTATGATTAACACAAGCATGTTTAAACAAAACAAAAAAAAACAAGTGATCGCCTAAAAACCAGTAAATCACATGGTTCAAGAATTTCTGGAATGAAACAATAAAGTAAGCCCTGCAAAAACATAGTCTAAACTCTAGACCAGAGCATGCTGCTAAGTTAGCCGCAGAAAACAACACGATTAAGCTCGCAGGCCAAGGATCAAATGATTACAGTTTTGGACTAATCATTACCGACCAAGTAATAATCAACTCCATCAGCGTGTTGGATAAAGAAAAAAACTGGCAGCATATGCCCATGCCCATAGAGGAGCCTCCCATACACTAGTGCAGCACGAGTAAGGCAGTGGCCACTACAGAAAAGCTACTTGTTAAGAGAATACCACTAAAAAAGGTGAAAGAAAAGTGGGGCAAACAAAGGCGATTCTGAATTGCTCTTTTGGACAAAAGGAGCCGGAACCTCCAGCCTAAGTAAAACATGTGCACTAGGGATGGTAGGGCAGTGACAAAGGTAAATTTTTGCAGGAGATTAGCCGGGGTGAAACTGTACATGCAACTACTGGACGTACTGGTTTTCAACTTTGCAGGATTATTTACTGATTACAAGATCTTGGTTAGTGTCCAGTTGTTTAATCTCAACCTAAAAGGATCACATTTTTTTAATTCCAGAGAACAATCAAGTACTGGGCAGTCAGTCCTCCAGAACCCAATGCTAAAGACATGATTTGCGAGGGGCTCATGGTTCACGACTTCGCAGCTTTCCACTCACTACCAACTGATTACTGATCAAAACAGGTATCAGTCATGCAAATTACTAATCTCGGTTTCAAGTTTCTTGTCACTGCTAGAGAGAGTGCAAATTTTCTCTGAACCTAGCAACTAGCAAGAAAAAAATGGTGGCTTCCAAACAGGTCAGTCGGGTAACCATAACTTCTTGACGCAGCACACAAACAAAACCTACCAAAACTGAGAGCTCACTAATAGTCAGACGGGTACAGTGGACCGCACCTAATCGGACATAAATGCGCTCAGGGCCGAGTTCAGTAACTGAGGCCTGTTTGGAACGGGGGATTTTTTCCATGTTCCTGCGTTTTTCATGTGAAAATGAACTTTAAAATTCTTGCACAATTAATGTGAAATTCCTGCGTTCGGCCCTGAAGCTCTTCAGGTAGTGGAGGAACGCCCGTTCAAATTGCAGTGCAGACCCAGCGATAAATCATAAATGCCGCATCCAACCAAAATGCAGAGAAGAGGGGAAACATAGATAATATGACGAAGAATCAAATAAAAATATCACAATTCGAGAACCCTCTCTCTCTCTAACGCAAGGGGCGTTCATCAAGAACGTCAACCAGGCATAGAAATGATCAAATGAGCACTGGTAAAAAAAGAGAGACGAAAAGAAGGCTTGGATGGCAAGGGGGAGGAAGAACGGCGCAGTACCTCGGACGATGCGGCGCCGGAGCCGGAGCCGGAGCCGCGGCGGAGGCGGACTCTGTCTGCGGAGAGGAGAGAGACTCGCAGTAGATGCGAATGCGATGCGCTGTGATCAGTAGGGAGTAGGGGCCAGGGAGAGGAGGGGAGCGTTTAAAAGGAGTGTTGGTGGAGCTGGAGCCTGGCAACCGGCGCCGCGACTGTTGGGTGCGCCACGCTCTTCTCGCTGCCCATGGCGATGTCTCCTCTCTGTCTACCGTTTTGCCACCGGCTCGTGTGGGCCCCGCCGGTCAAACTCTCACCCGTTTTCCACCTTTTGTTTTTTTTAAAGAGTGTGTTTAGTTGGAGGATAAGGGCCTATTTGGCAGGGCTCATCTTCGGCTCCGGCTTTGGCTCCTCCAGAGGAGCCCTGCCAAACCGTTTTTCTGAAGGAGCTGTTTTTTCAATAAAAAGCAGAGGAGCCAAAGCTGTTTTGGAGGAGCCAAACGGCTCTGGCTCCTCCGGAGAAGCCCCTCGGGAGAGCCCTGCCAAACATGTCCTAAGTGGAGACGAGGCGATATGGATATCCATACTGCATGTGTGATTAGTTGGATGAAAGTGGATTGAATAAGAGTATTTGACTAAGATTTTGTTTGATCCACCTAACTAAATTTTAGCTAGCTAAAATTTTAAGGCTAAATTTTAGCAAGCTAAAAATTCTACCAGTTAAACTTTAACTAAGGTGTTTGGATCCTCCGGCTAATAGATTCAGCTAAACTTTAGCTGAGTTTAGGACCTCTTTGATGCACCCAACTAAAATTTAGCTAGGTAAATTTCAAAGTAAAACTTAAGCCAGCTAAAAGTTTCCTAGCTAAATTTTAGTTGCAGTGTTTGGATGCTCCAGCTAATAGACTCAACTCAATTTTAGCTAGGTTAAAATAGTTAAACCCAACTAAATTTAGCTGGTCTTTTAGCTGGGTTGTTTAGAGTAATTTCGAGAGACTCTCTATATCCTTCCTAAATGCTAGAAATAGAGATTTTGATGAAAAATTACCTCCCACAGCTTGTCTAAATGGTTATGCAAATATAGTCATCTTCTATTTTAGATTTTTCGCTAGTCAAAAATAGAAAACGAGAATTACTCTATAGAGTGCGCACGAGATATAGAAAAGTTGTTGGAGAGTGAAAAGATATAGAAAGTAATTTTTATAGAAATGACTCTCCAAATGATGATTTAGAGAGTGAGATTTAGAAAGACTCTTGAGATGCTCTTAGATGCCTTGTAGCTAAATTTAGCCAACTAAAGTTTTGCTGGTGTGTCCAAACAGGTCTTGGGTTGAAACAGCTAAACTCAGCTAAACTTTAACGAATCTTTTAGCTGGGCCATTTGAATCATAGCAGCTAAATTTAGCCAGCTAAAGTTTAGTTGGCGGATCGAACATGCCCTAATTGTATTTGTATTATTTAAAAATAATAGCTAATTATACACTAATAAATATGCACTAACACTAGTTTTGTCATGACAATAATTAGTCACAGATAAAATATGTTAATTGCCACCATTATTATCCTAATTGACATACAAAACATGCACTAATCAACATATTAGTACTTATAAAAATTAAACTTGTCATCTAATTACTAAGCAATAATATAATATACTAATAATTCTTAATTATTTACTAATGGCAAAGATTATAAAATATAGATATTTTGGTGGCAGGGATATCCGGTGTGTGAGAGATATCCGTATTCAACTTGCTAGAACCAGACACCGTTTGTCTATGGACCGTCATCTCCTGTCCAGAGATATTCACCAAACCAAACACACCTTAGATATCACGTAAGCATCCGTTGAAAAAGGGACAAAACAGAGGCGGGGGGATCGTGTAGACTGTAGACCCCCGCATGCAGTTTATGAAAAAAATTATCCCTGGGTACAAGTTAATATCATAAAAAAGTTGTTTGATTCTGTTTAGAACGTATGAATTTCACAGAAATCATATAAAGTCTAATTTTATAGAATAAAATATAAATAACTTTTTTCTACGTTTCAAACAGACCCTTACACTCTGTGCCACATCTCCCTTGTAAAATTGTGATATGAGCGTAAGTTTTATGGTATATGTTAATTGGTACTCATACCTATCAAGGTTTAATGGTACGAATGAAATATCGCCATCAATTTCCCTGCATCAGTACGGTGTTGGAATTTTTTTTTTGTGCCATGAATGTATCTAGGAATTCATGCAGTCACATTGAACCTTCTGGTGTATAGCTCTGTTCTTGAGGGCACAACTATAAATCTGTAGAAATATCTCTAACGACAGTTGTAGCTAACCTATATATCTGTTAGATTTCTCAGCTTTCCATCTAATAATAATGGCTAAAAAATATGACGGACATAGATAAGCAAAATCTGTGGACAGATATATAGCAATTCCTGCCTATACATCGAACAATGGGCTTTGTTCATACTGATTTTCGGTGTGAACAATGTGCGTCCAGGTTTTCTGGGTTTCTTACTCGCTAAGATTTTTGCTGCATCGTCGTCGTCCGAAAAAGGAAAGGGCTAAAGGCGCAAGGAGAAGAAAAGGGCAGGAGTGTGAAAGGGTACCAAACCAAACCAATGAATGATCCATGAACCCATATCCGCATGATGGAGGTCCAGCGGCAATTGCGGGAGGGCAGAGGAGACCAATAATGATGGCATCATGCCCCTGCCCCTGCCCCTGCCCCATGCATCGCAGCTTTG